TCTGTCCATGCGCCACGTGCAAGCCCCTGGTTCTACCCTTCACTCCAGGGACCCGTGGCTCCAGGTCATCGTCATGGTCACCCGATACCCCCTTGCCCGGCGCAGGAAACCCTCAGGCCATGGCTGTAGGAGCTGGCAGCCCGGCCCTGCCGTGCGTGCCCAGCCAGCCTCATGGGTCCCCTGCTCTCTCCCTCTCGGTCCTGCCCAGACGCNNNNGCGCTGGGCAGTCTCGGGGCTTCTGCCACCTCAGGACCTTCTCGTCAGGCTCGGATGAACTAAGGACTGTACGCCCGCTTCGCCCCAACTGATTATAAGGGGTCTCCTTGCCCACGGCCAGGGGGTCGGAACCTCCTGAAGAGGCGCGTGGGCCCATCCTCAGGACAGGACTCCCGGGCAGGTCCAACCCTGGGGCAGGCCTAACCCCCGGGGGACGCGTGTCCCCAGCCCGCACGGTGGGCTGCTGGGAGGGGCGGCTGAGTCTCCCCAGTGGCCCTTCTCACTGTCCGGACCTGCCCCTGCAGTCGACGTCCTTTGGGAGTGGACTGAGGACCGGGACAGGGACCTGCTCCCAGTCTTGTCCTGGGCCAAGCTGGAAGGCACAGGGATCCCCCTAAAATGGCTTCTTGGGGACTTGGCACCCCAAGCCTGCCAGGAGGTCCTGGGCACAGCAATGGCCCAAGAGTCACTGGCTCCCTTCCCGCACCCCTATGTGCACACGGGCCCTGGAGGCCTCCGCATTGCTTCTGGCGGTTCCTGGAGCACAGGGCCTCCACGGGTGCACCCCCAGCCAGGCCGTCCCCCAGGGCCGCGCTCACATGCGGGCCTCACTTCAACCTCGCCTGGGACACAGCCGGGAGTCGGCCTGGGAGTGGGGTGGGGACAGGCATCTCCCACCAAAACCATGCTGGGAGAGGGGCCCTGCCCTGCCCCACGGCTTCCTGGGCCCCCCAGAGCCGCCCCCACCTGACACCTGAGCTCAGCGTCACTGATCAGAGACACGCAAAGTGATACAATGAGGTCTCACCGCCCGCCTGTCAGAATGGCTCCATCAATAAAGCAACAGACGACAGGTGCCGGGAGGGTGTGGGGAAGGGGACCCGCGCGCAGGGCAGGTGGGATGCCGCCTGGGGCGGCCGCGGTGGGACGCAGTGTGGAGGGTCCGCAAAAAAGTAAACATGGAGACCCAGCGACCCCACTTCTGGGAATTTATCCAAAGAAACCCGAAACACTAATTTGGAAAGATACAGGCACCCTGTGCTCACTGCGGTGTTTACAATAGTCAAGCTACGGAGGCAGCCCAAGTGCCCAACACACCAGCGGGCAGAGGCGGCTGCTTCTCAGCCGTAAAGAGCAAAACCTTGCCACCTGCGACAGTGCGGACGGCCCGGGACAGGGCGACGCTAAGGGAAGTCAGTCCCTCAGAGACAAGCGCCACAGGGTTTCACGTACACGGGGAAGGCGGGGCTGTGCGATGTGGCACAGAGGTGGCCCGTGTGCGCAGGCGTCCTCCCCTCTGGCCTGCGGGAAGGGGCCTGACCCATGCTGTCCATCGCCCTTGGTCTGGGGACCCGTGGCGCATCCCCTGCCCCTCCCCTGCCCAGGGTTCCCTCAAGCTCTGCCCTCAGGTCAGCAGAGGCCCAGCCCACCCAGCGGCCTGGCCTGACCCCCTCACCTCTCCCATGCTGCCTGCAGTCCCCCGGCTTCCCTCTTCCTGCCTCCCAGCAGGAAAGCCTAGGGCTGGGGTCTCACCTGTTCCCTCCAGTCTGTACCCGGGTCCCCTCCCTGAATCACACAGACGTCTCCCAGCCTTGACCTCAGGCCCCTTTCTCCCTCGTGGGCCCTCGGGCAGCACTGGGCGCTCTCCCGGCCGCTCCGCACAATAGGCAGGGGCACCCGCTCTGCTGTGTCCACCAGGCCAGGGCCACCCCCCACGACGCAGTCATACACTGGAGGGACCCCGCGTGCATATGGTAAGTGCTATCGGGGCAACACTGGATCTGGGAGTCGGGGCTTTACAGTGGTCATCGAACCAAACCTCCACTTCAGCTGCAACAGAGGTGCTGGACCGGAGCAGTGTCCACTCTGGGCTGACCGGAGGCGACAGAGGGGGCCGTCCGGCTGCTTCACGGCCACGGTCCAGAGCCCAGCATCCGGGTGAAGCCTGGTCAGGCTGGAAGGAGACACTGCCACCGGGCAAACAGTCCTCCCCTTCGGACAGAGCGGGAGCCCGCAGGTCTTGCCAACTCGCGCACCTCGATCTGGTCCCGACCGTAAGGTCATCACGCACAGAAAGGAGTGTAGCTCAGGTAGAGCCGAAGGCTAAAAATGAAAAGCATCCCTGGCCGTGTCCGCGGGTGTGGTTCTGGGCATTTATACAGCCAGAAGCCCCAGGGTCTGGGGCAGAGGCAAGGAAAAGGCCGCTGAGTACTGGGGATAGACGCTGCTCGGATGGAGAGGGGGTGCAGAAAATAGTGCTGTTTCATATTTTATTACATCAATGGCTTGAAAATTTTTATTTAACTCCAGCAAATATTGGAAATAGAAAAATGAATTCTGCAGAACTTCACAAATAAATTTTCCAATCTCCACTAACAAAAAAATGTCATCATCCAAGGGCTAAGCAATTATAATGCTATGAACATTCACCATAACGAGTGTGCTGAAGTAGAAAACAGGCAGAGAGACATTAAAATGTTACTTACACGGCATCTTACAACATCGCTTCCTTAAAGCCCCAGATCATTTAGAAAGATACACAGTTTCAAACTTAACCTTTCACACCGTTCAGATCTGCAGTCTGAGCATCGCCCTAAGCAGCACCGAGCAGGGCGGCGGGCTGGGCGGGGCCGTCCGCTCCAGGACAGGTAGGCGGCGACTGTAAACACCGGCCTCGCGACGTGCAGACTGTCCTGACCGCCCTCTGGGCCCAGACGGCTGCGGCTGTGCTTCATCTGGTTGGGACAAGCTGGGGACACGGACGCGCAGAGGCGCCTGGTTCTGAGCGCCGCCCACCATCCCTCAGGGGCCACTTCCTCGAGTCAAAGTTTCGCTGGGGAGTGAAAGCTTGACCCCGGGTTTCAGGGGGCCGGATGGGGGTGGGCCCCGCCTGCTCTCCCCCGGGGAGGAGGGGACCACCGTCCCAGTCTCCAGAGGCCACCCCAGACCCTGCAGGCTGCCCAGGCCCGGGAGGGGGGAGCCGAGGAGCGGAAACTGACTCAGCTTCTCGGCCAACGACCCTCAGCTCGGTCGGCTTCCCCAGGACTGCGCGGCCGGCCCCCAGCCTCGGCCAGCGGGGAGGGAGATTCGTCCCTCCAGGCCTAGGCGGCAAGTACACGCCGGGTTTAGGGAGAAGACATGGCCGTGACCTCGTGAGCACGACCGGGCCCCAGGCATGTGACCGGGCGTTCCAGTCAAACACATCTCAAGAGCAAGCGTATGGCGACTGTGCCAAGGAGGCTGTTACACGTGTGCTTGAGGGACACAGCGGAACGTTTGCATACGGACAGACATCCTCTGGGAAGACACACAATGGAGGGAGACCTTCAGGATCCAGAAGGCAGGGGGATTATTCCCAGAACAGTGCAAGACATTTTAATTACATTTTTCCATGGATGAGAATTTGGAATTTCATATTAAGGTTTTGCATTTTGAAATTTATTTGGATTAGATAAGGGACCTATTCGATGTTTCAGAGACCAACCTTTCAGCTCATGAGAGAGACGGAGCCCCCCGGGAGGAGGTGCGCTGAGCGTTCTGCGTGTCGTCTACTGCAGCTACAGACCCCACAGACGGGGAGACCCCACAGACACGTGGCAGTTACAGACTCGAACGCGCGCGGCTCTGGGGTCCAGTACATTCTTATTAACGTAAAATGAAAACCGCAGACGGAGGCAGAGCTGAGCGGAAAACTCCGTCTGGCTGGTTAGCAGGTGGTGGAAACATTAGTGAAGCCGGAGCTGAGGGTGCTGGACGGAGCCAAGAGCACCAACGAGTCACCCTCCGCCTTGGACTGGTGACTTCTGCCCTGGCTGGGGCCGCACCAGGTCCCACATCGAGACAGTAAAATGACCAGAATCCTTTTCAAGACTCACTAGGTGGGGACGGCAGAGCCGCTCTGTAGTCTGCTGCTGGCGATCATCATACAACGAAACCGAAACAAAATCTAGACTCCTTTTTGGCAAAAGGGCCGAAACAATTAAGAACACAGTTTGTGTTCATGTAGCGTTAACTGCACAACAGTGGGAGAAGGAATCTGAAAAAGAAAAAGTAAGACCCCATGAGACACCACTCAGGGGCTCGGAAACAGACGCAGCGGATGGCGTGGTGGTAACGACCCAGGAAGTTGTCACTTCTAGTTGTTGACACAGATTTAGAGCTATTTTATAAATTTGAGATTCAGGTATTTTAATAACAATGCATAAAATTTTTTTAAAAAGCTTGACTCCTGGGTGGGCGGCTTTAGAAACAGGAGGGCGCGTCGCCCCGAGAGGCCGGCGGCGCCCCCTGCGCTCACCGGGCGGGCCCGGGCAGTGTAATGCACCGTTTGGCTTATTTTTGGTTTTGCCAATAGTACGTCTGATCTTCAGAAAGACAAAGAGAGGGGGCAGTTGGAATTTAAAGTGACAACGAACACACTTCAATGGTGTGTGACATTTGAGGAGACTCTATATACACAGCAAACAACTGCTGACTTAGTCCGCCACAGCCAAGTTCTAACGCAACTGCTTTTCAGACTCGTTTTTCGATCAGAGGTGTGTGACCATCAAAAACTATCAGAAGCCATTCCACGGAGCTGGGGTCCGGGTGACACGCAGCACAGCGCGGCGCAGTGTCGCCCTGACCTTGGCTCCCGGTGCCCTCAGCACAGCGGGCGGGCAGCTTCCTGCGTAAACGAGCTACTTACAGACTTGATCTGCTTCAAACCAGCCGACACAACATTCAAGTAACAAGGTATCTCAATGGAGAAGGGAAACAAAATTTACCTAGCACTTGACACAGCTACATGAAATGAAATAAAACAAACTTTTAATGCATATGCAATACAATTTGTATCTTTAGGATTCCTAAACTAAAACTATCATCTGTTTCAAGGGTACTATATTTTGCACAATAACTTATACTTAGGAGAAATCTTCCACAAAAATATATATATATAATCATGACATTCACATTGATCAGTCTTGGGGAGGTTAAGGGGACGTTGCAGCCGCAGCGGCTGCCACTGTGGACCCTCCCCCACCCCAGCGCGACCGGCCGATGCACCGAGTCTTGATATGTTTAAAAGGGCCTTCACATAAAAAGACCGCTCACTTTGCTCTCGGCAAAGTGATTTCTTGCATTTACAACATCATTGCAAAGACAGTGTAAGGAAACAGCTGAGGACACAGGGCTATCTTGTGCGGGAAACCACAGGAGGGCAGTCGAGGGGATGAGCACATGCCCCCAACCCAGCGCCGCGGGAGCGAGGCCCGCGCAGTGGCTCTCGGCGGCCCGGCGGCGGCCCTGGGCTGCTGCCTCGCCGCAGGAGGAGCACCAAGCTCTCGGCGCTGCCAGAGGGACGGGTTCTCAGGGAGAAGAGCCTGGGCGGGAGGAGAGAACAGGCCTGCTGGCAGCGGGAGCCCCTGCGGGAGGCCGCGCCTGTGACGGGGAAGGAGACCGAAGCCCCTGTCCAGCCTGGTGTCCCCTTACAGCCATGTGCAAAGCATATACACCTCCTCCCCATGTTTTCCTGCGTTTGCAGTTACACAGCAGGCTTGCGATGCCAAGAAAGCCAACCCTTAGTGGCTCCTAGTGTCACCTCGCTCCCGTCTGAGCAGGACCGTAAGTCTGCCTCCCGACACTGCTCCTCACTGCGCCCCCTCACTCAGTGCAGGGACCAGAGGATGCAAGTGGAAAGTCTCATTTTATTGCCCCCTTCTGAATGACCTTTGTCCAGATTCCTTAAAAAAGGTCCAATTCCAAACTATGATCCTAGCTGACCCTCTTCCTAAAATCAGCTGACTTAAAAAAAAAAAAAAAAAGGCAAGGTGCTTGACAGTCAAAACACATTAACTTTTAATTGCATATTTTAAATTCTTAAGAACTGTTTATGCCGCCTTAAAGCATCGCATTTTTTTCTTTTTGGTATTGAAAGCAGGAAGAGTATTTAAGTGATGCAAAACGACACCAGAAAGCTCCTTCAGCATATTTAGTGCAGGCGGGAGCGGCGAGGGCTAGACAGGTTTGCCACGCCAGCCCGCAGCCCTCGCGGCCCACCGTCTGCCGAGAGAACAGAGGGGATTCTGGAATCTCAGGACATTTATCAGGAATTTTCACGTGTTCCCAGTCCAACCAAAGGGCAGCACACACCACTCTGCAGACTGCTTTTCATCCTGGGCTCACTAGACCCAACAAGCTGACCACTTCTGTTCTGCACTACACCGTGGAGAGAGCAAGGGCAGGGTTGTGTGGTCACACACATCAGGACATGAAGGACCCACGGGTATGTGGAGTGACACATAAAGGCCGGGCATACCGAGGCCAGGGAGCAAAGTATTTTATAAAACCCCCACCAGCCAGCCTAATGCCCTTTGTGGAGCGAGCCTGACATTTGAGTCTGCACGGCCAGAGTCTGCAGCGAGGTCTTGTCTCCCACCCTCAGTGATGTCATCTTTGGCAAGCAATCGACGTTAAAGAAGAAGTAAGACACCCAAACAGAAACAGGACTGATAGCATGGTTGCCAAGAGGAGAAGGCACCAATTCCAAATGTACAGCACCAGGGGCAGTGGTATGGACCAGGTCTCTGGGAAACGGGGAGAGAGAGGGTGGCACCCATCCTGGGGCTGCGATGCTGAGAGCTCAAGGCAGAAAGTGTTGAGGTTCACGTTCCTTTTCAGCTACGTGTCCAAAGAGAGCTGCTGCGAGTCAGCTTCCTACCAACCGGGAAGGCAGAAGGGAGAGATTCAAGCGAATTAGATTTATAAACCATAATTACACCCTACTTTCAGGGAAATGGGAGTTGAATCAGGATGTTTGGCACGATCAAGGTTACGATGCAGTCTGCCAATACACTGTGACATCCAAGAGAGCGTGATCTCACTTAGGTGGACGCCTCCGACTGAGCAAGAGAACTTTCCAGAAGGCCAACCGGGTCGCGGTTACTGGAAATGACACTATGCACAGAGTGGAGATTGCGGGCCATGCGGGAGCAGAGTCGTGCCTTCGGTGGGCTACCTGTTCTGAAGCTGCTGACGGAAGAGCTGCCATGGGTGGGCTCCGGAGCTCTGCCTGGGGGATGGTCCCGTCAGGGCGGCGTGCGGGCCCGAGGTCCCCCGCACACAGGCTGAGCGTGAGATGCGCGGAGCTCTCTGGGAAGTGGCGCCAACACGGAGGAACGAGCGGAGAATTAAGGCAGGTGTAGCACAGGACCGGAAGTGTATGCCTTTTTGGTAATAGCTGCTTGTCCAGAGAGGTGATGCAGATGGCTAGGTGATGTCTTGTAATGCCCGGTGTGCTGGCAGCACCGGCATCCATACCAAGTGCAGAGCCACCAGGGCCTCAGGAGGCAGATGCATATCTGACGTCAAGGACAGAAGCAGCCTGAGCAAAGGAGAGGAAAAGAGAATCAGAGAGCAGGAAGCAACACCAACGGCTCACACTGGTGTCCGGCCAACGGCCCTGACGGTCCCCGAGGGCGGGCCGGAGGCAGCTGCACAGGACTGAGTGCGGCCTCTGCAGCCAGGGGCCCTGGGCTCAAGGCCTGGCTCTGCCACCGTCAGGCTGTGTGTCCCGGCACAAGTTACTCTATTTGAGCTTCACTTTCCTCTCCTGCAGAACACACACCATCACGGTGTCTACTACCCAGGATTAAACAAAACCCCTGGAGAGGGCAGCTGGCAGGCGCTCGGGGACATCAGCACTGGCTGGAGGGGCTCCCGTGGTTCCTGCGGAGACAGTGGCACCCAAGGTCCCTAAGACGGCAGGATCCTCCTCAGAAGCTGCCAAGCATTTCTTCCCTCTCCCCTCCCACTTTCAAACCTGACTCCAGTCCAAACCTGAAGGTTACTCGTGTCTCAGGCCCCCTGCTCACTCACAGGGTGTTGTTTTTTTTTTATTCTTTTCTTTTTTTTAATGTTTTTATTGATTTCAGAGAGAGGAAGGGAGAGAGAGAGAGAAACATCAGTGATGAGTCACTTGATTGGCTACCTCCTGCTTGCCCCCGAGTGGGGATCAAGCACCTAACCGGGGCCTGGGCCCTGACCAGTAATCGAACCACAATCTCCTGGATCCCAGGTTGATGCTCAACCCTCAGCCACACCGGCCGGGCCCTCACGGGGTCTTATTGCCCGGAAACAACTGGGCTATGGGCCCAGAACCCAACACAGCTGCTGCTCAGGTGNACACTGGTGTCCGGCCAACGGCCCTGACGGTCCCCGAGGGCGGGCCGGAGGCAGCTGCACAGGACTGAGTGCGGCCTCTGCAGCCAGGGGCCCTGGGCTCAAGGCCTGGCTCTGCCACCGTCAGGCTGTGTGTCCCGGCACAAGTTACTCTATTTGAGCTTCACTTTCCTCTCCTGCAGAACACACACCATCACGGTGTCTACTACCCAGGATTAAACAAAACCCCTGGAGAGGGCAGCTGGCAGGCGCTCGGGGACATCAGCACTGGCTGGAGGGGCTCCCGTGGTTCCTGCGGAGACAGTGGCACCCAAGGTCCCTAAGACGGCAGGATCCTCCTCAGAAGCTGCCAAGCATTTCTTCCCTCTCCCCTCCCACTTTCAAACCTGACTCCAGTCCAAACCTGAAGGTTACTCGTGTCTCAGGCCCCCTGCTCACTCACAGGGTGTTGTTTTTTTTTTATTCTTTTCTTTTTTTTAATGTTTTTATTGATTTCAGAGAGAGGAAGGGAGAGAGAGAGAGAAACATCAGTGATGAGTCACTTGATCGGCTACCTCCTGCTTGCCCCCGAGTGGGGATCAAGCACCTAACCGGGGCCTGGGCCCTGACCAGTAATCGAACCACAATCTCCTGGATCCCAGGTTGATGCTCAACCCTGAGCCACACCGGCCGGGCCCTCACGGGGTCTTATTGCCCGGAAACAACTGGGCTATGGGCCCAGAACCCAACACAGCTGCTGCTCAGGTGAAGTCAGGTCATGGGAGTGGCTGGTTGTCCAATCAGGAGACTTCTCATTAGCAAACAGAATCATTCTTACATTTTAAGTGAGACTGGCTTCTCTCCCATCTGTCCCTTTCAGCTTACATGCCCCTCCTGACACTCCCCCCACCCCGTACCCCACCCTTGGCCCCTCAGAGAGCTCTGGATCTCACAAGCTCAGAGCCCTTGGGTCTCCCTCCCCTCGGCCTGAAGGAAGGAGCAGGCCCTGCCGCCCTCCCCTGCAGTGGAGGGGAGGCCCAGGAACAACTCCACTCTGGTTTATGCAATCAGCCTGTGGCAAAGCTGGCTTGTTGTGCATCATTTTGAGTGAAGTCGCAGACCTCCTGGGACGTTAAGGGAGGGCTCCCTGCACCAGGACTTCTGCATCTGAGGCAGACGGGCAGGCAGGGCCGCAGACAGCGTCGTCAGCCGCTGGGTGCCACATGGTAAACAAGACCATGAAGGACAGGGACAGCGAGTCCTGCGCACGGAGCAGAAGACAGTTAACCATCTAACAGCTCTCCATGGGCCCTGGAACACAGCAAAGCAGCTGGTCCTCACAGGTAATGTCCTTCTGCAAACAGAGGGGGAAACCAGGCTGGCGGAGCATAGGGCTTGTGTGGAAGCAGCAGAAAGACTAAAGGAAAGGAAATCCAGGTGTGTGAGAGAGTGTGAGACAGAGTGTGTTTTAAATGACCAAAGGTGAGAGGTTTTACAGGAGACATAAAGGCAGGTGAGGTGATGCCATTCTCTCTAAAGAGCGGGCTGGGTGAACAGACACAGGGATCAGCCGCCAGGGAGCAGCGCAGCCTGGCACTGGGGGAGTCCAGTGGGGAGGGGCCACCACCAGAGGCAGAGAGGAGAGTGGGGTGCTGTGCTGTGAAGTCAGCATGGGAGTGGACCAATCAGAGAGAAAGAGAAGGGCCTGACCGTTCCGTCTCAGTAAGTGAGAGAGGCCGGAGAAACAAGGGCGGTGGGTGCACAAGGACCGACGCCCTGAACTGACCATCACCCTTCCAGGCCAACCCGGCTGCACCAGCTCCGGGGAACGTGCAGAGGGAAGGGAGCCGGGCTCCTATGGTTTCTGCTCCTGGAGCTGGAGCTGGAGCTGGAACACCGTGGAAGAAAGCTTGCTTTCTTACAAATTCTCTGTTCTGTCCCCAGGAATCCTCAACTTTTCAATGCTCCCTAAGTTGAGTCTAGGACTTTAGGAAGTTAATCTGTTGCTAAGGGCGCCATTAGCACTGGATGGAATCAGTGCCAAAGACCAAGACACCTCCATGTTGCTCCGATGCAACTATATCCAGGGCCTCAGGCTGGCCCACTCACATTCACGGTGTGACTCAGGAACCGCTCTTGTCGGCAACACTGCAGACCCTGCACACTCACTACCCAGTCTTTCCAGAGGCCAGGGAGCCTGACGAACACAATCCGTGTATTGAACACACGCTGGCCAGCGGCCCCGGGCACTGCGCGGTGCCCTTGCCCACAGTTGCTCCCACACTCAGGGCAGGAGGAGCTCCAGGCTGCTCTCTCCAGGCTCCTCACAGGAAAGCACAGACAAACAGGACAGGTAACTTCAGTCACTCCCACGTGGTTGCTGGGAGACGGGTGAGAAAGTGACTTCCCTTGTAAAGCTGAGTTACCCCGTCAGTTACATCAGTGAGCAAACTCAAACGTGAAGTGACTGGCAATGAACTCTGCCGGTGCCCAGCCCCATCTCCTCTTCTGTGGGAGTGAGGGGCAAATATGCAGCAGGGCAGGCTGGCAACACACGGGGAGATGGCAACAGCCCTGTCCCAGGAAGCAGGGAGGGACAGGTGGGTCCCTGCAGCCTTGGGACTCTCCCTGCCTAACCTCTGCTGACTGGGCTGTGACATCAGAGCCAAGCTCCTGGAGACTGTTAGGAGGCAGGCCTGGCGGTCGCAGCCAGCCACACCTAGAGCTGTCCCCATCCACACAGAAGTCAGTCAGCTCCACCTGGCGTCCAGGGCTGGAGGACGGGACAGTGGAGATGACCAGGAGCTCTGGTTGGTTGGCTGGCTGTGCAGACTCAGCAGCAATTCACTGACTGCACAGGGAGAGGACATCACCGTCTATGGGGCTGACTTAACTGACACTCCCCGAGGCACCTCCCACTGCCTGCACCACGGCAGATCCTTGCTGTCCTAAGGAAGTGCTGGCACCGCGGGATAGTCTGGGGCTAGAGGAGGTGCTGGCATCACGGGGTAGTCTGGGGCTAGAGGAGGTGCTGGCATTGCCAGGTAGTCTGGGGCTAGAGGAAGTGCTGGCATTGCCAGGTAGTCTGGGGCTGGAGGAAGCCAGGATGATGTTAGGAATCAAATGTAAATCACACACAGTGACAAGTCTGAATGAACTCTCAGCACATGTACCGTGGTATTTACAGGCAAAAGTCATGTTCCTGACATGCTGCGCCCTGAAACACTTCCCCGGGCGAGGGAACGGACGGGAGGGGGTCCCCCTCGCGCTGCCAACTTACCTCCTCTTCCTCATCGGGAATCTTGGCGGAGCTGTCAGGGGACTTGGCCGGTTTCTGGTTACTGGGCCCATGGGTCTCTTCTTTCCCATGCTCTGCCTCCCATTCTTGTAAAACTTCATCTATGTTGAAGCGGCGTCGATAATTTACAAAAAAGTTTTTCACCTGCACCACTGACTTGTTCCCGATCACGTCGGAGATGGCCTGGAAGTCTCGGCCGTATTTCCTGATGGCTAAGGGGGTGAGGGAGCGTGTTTTTTTCATTACAAGAGAAAACCAATTAAAAACACACAACTGAGACTTGCTTGTACCCAGATAAGAAAACACACAGGCTTCTAACAGCCGTGCTGCCTTAGTGTCCCAGGCAGGGAAGACGTGGATCCAGACACATTCCACAGGTGGCTGGCCCAAGAAGTCCCTGCGACCCTGTCCCCAGAAATCTGCACACTGCCCTCAGACGTCACCCAGCAACTACTCTGTGGTTGTGGACACTCTGCACCTGTCTTTCCAGGGTCCCCAGGACTAGAACACCCCAGCCTTAAATCCCTAACATTCGGTCTGCTTGCCGGGGTTCTGGCCTTCCTGACTATTCAAACCCCACAGGTAGCTGTTAAAATGAACTACCCACAGCTTTAAAACCAACACCTCCGCACTAATTTTTAATCTTGTGAGACCCTGAGGGAGCTGGTAATGTGGCTAAAATGACTTCCATGGCAAGAGCCTAATCCTCCCAGAATCTGCTCAAATGGGCAATGCGCTGGGCGCGGAAGGGGCAAGAGTCTCTCCTAGAAGCTCTCTGCGAGAGGGACCTCCCCTACCTTGCACGGCGAGAAGCTGCTCCTCCGTGGTCCAGCGCGCGTTGCATTTCTGAATGACCTGGACACCCAAACGAGTCATGTTAGCACACCACACATCCTCACGAGGGCTGACCAATCTCTCACATCAGAATTTCAACATCAACTAGGTTTATAAAATTCTGCCCACACCTTTCTTTCTACGAGGTGTATACTGGAGACACAGCACATGAAGATTACTCTTAACACACAGAACTCGGGCATGGCTTCTGGGACGATGCTAACACAATCCTACCTCTGGAAGTCGATAGGGTTCTATCCCACCGTCGAGCTTTTCTTTGAGGGCACTGTTTGTCTGCTTAATATTCTGAATCTAAGAGAGAAAAAGACTGTTATTTTATTTTTGAAAATATATCTTTATTGATTTCAGAGAGAGGAAGGGAGAGGGAGGGAGAGAGAGAAACACCACTGATCAGCTGCCTCCTGCATGCCCCCCACTGGGGATGCAGCCCGCAACCAGGGCATGTGCCCTGATCAGGAATTGAACCGCGATCTCCTGGATCCTAGGTCAATGCTCAACCGCTGAGCCACACCCAGCCAGGCAAGGAAAGATTGTTACAGCGGTACCTCGGTTTTCCAACATCTCCGCTGACGAATACTATAAACCCAGAAGTAAATGCTTCGGTTTTCGAACACACCTCGGAAGTTGAACATGCCACACAGCTTCCACTGAGTGCAAGATCCTGAGGCCTAGCTATTGGCTGTTGATCCCTTGGTTTTCAAACGTTTCAGAACTCAAATGGTCTTCTGGAACGGATTACATTTGAAAACCAAGGTATCACTGTATTTTAAAGATAAAAAACTCTGAAGTAGGGCGGGTTGGGCTGGCTCCAGAGTGGGGCTGAAGGCCAGACAGGGGTGTGGTGGGGTCGCCCTGCTCCATGCTCTTCTGAGCTCTGTGCCCACAGGAGGAAGTGACAGGAAAGGGATCTGACATCAGGTAAGAATCTGAAAAGAAGCCGGAGGCTCCTGCTGGCCCCATAGGCACCCATGGATCATGGCAGGAACAGTGAAGTGGGTCACGGGTGCCAAGATGTCAGTGCTCACAAATAATTGTGATATTTAAAAATATATATCTTTATTGATTTAAGAGAGAGGAAGGGAGAGGGAGAGAGAGAAACATCAATGATGAGAGAATCATTGATCGGCTGCCTCCTGCATGCCCCTGACTGGGGATCGAGCCTGCAACCCGGGCATGTGCCCTGACCGGGAATCGAACCCCAATCTCCTGGATCCTAGGTTGATGCTCAGTCACTGAGCCATGCCAGCCAGGTGTGATAATTTTGAAAAGAGAGGATGGTGCAGGTCACAGACAGTGAGGACTGGAGTTTCCACTAGTTGTGTGTGCAGACCACCTGAAATGTCTTCAGTGTTGAAACCAGCCATTGGCTCTCAGATGATCAAATAGTCCACCCCTTTCTGAACCACTGAGAACTGACCCAGAATGAGCTGATGGTGAAGGTGTTAGAAGATACCGGAGAGCAGGAGAGAGAAGGGTGTCCTCTGGCAGGAAAGAGGAGACTGGAGAACACCCACTACAACCTGCTCGAGGAGGAGCTCAGGAAAAGCCCCTCCAGCACCCAGACTGTGAAGCCTTGTGGCAAAACCCAGGGCAAGGGCATCCTTCTCATCAACAAGCTCCCGCAACCAGTGGTCCCGGGCCAGCCACACACCCTCACGTGTGGGGCCGTCCGCAGACCTGGTTGAACACAACCTTCCTTTTCCTACTTCCCTGTGTGCTCAGTGACTCTTCTCTAATGTCAGATGGTTTTCACTCTCCACGCTGGAAGACCAGAGGTGACAGGCTCCCATCGCTGGCTCACCTAAGGGTCCTGGCCCCTCATCTGTCCAGGAGGCCTACTGCACAGGTCTGGATCACAGAAGTTTCTGGTAAAGCAAAAGGGGCAGAGGGGGGTGCCCCACCTCCATCTCTTCCTCACAACCTTGAATGCAGCAGACGTGAGGGTTACAAAGTGGCTCCTGCAGCTTCCAACGGGACAGACGCAATAAGGCAGGTGAAAGGCCAAGCTAAGAACGCAAAGTAGAAACGTGAAGGTGTCAGGGTCCCTGAGAGCACCGCTGAACAGAGGAGCTAACGCCAGCACACTGACACTGGGATTTCTATTTGATAAAAACAATCTCATAATTGTTTAAAAGGTGTTGTGAGTCGGGATTTCTGTCATTTTCAGGTGAACAATTCCCTGACATACAACCAAACATGGGGCCTCCAGATAAAGTGTCGCTGAGTGACTGTCATTTTGATTCCAGAAGTGTGTTTGGCAGGAGCCCCGAAACCCTGTCTCCTCCCTCAGGAAGTCAGACTCCAAGGCCTCCCTCCGACAATGGGAGTAGCTACCTTCCAATCAAACAGTCCTGCTCTTGACCCTGGCTCTGAAAACCAAGACTCTCTTATCTATCACTCTGCAGAGTCGGTAACACCCGTGGAGCCTGGAGCAGCGGCGCCAGAAGCACATCTCAGCGAGCAGTGAGCCCCCTGCACCGGAGGTGGCAGTGCCCCGAGGGCATGCAGCCGCTCAGAGCGGGTCCCCCAGTGCAGACTGAGCTCCCACCCTGCAGCCCCATCCATCCTGGAAGATCAGGCGGCCGGGACTAATCTCCTCTTGTGAAGAGGCCCAGGAAGATTAAGTGATTCTCCTAAGATTAGATGCAGCTGTGCCAGCAGCCAAGACAAGGAGCCAATCCTCCGGCTCCACGGGGCCGCTAGGTCCTGGTCTGCGCCGCCTCCCCGCACAGCAGAGACCGGGGCCCTGACCCACTCTTCTCATCTCTGAAACGACAGCTGGCTTCCTATTTAACCTTCCAAGGGACCATCAAGATTAACAACTCAAAGCATCAAAAGCTAAAAGTGAACCATCAGTCCACAACGTGCTTGAACTCCGAACAGAGGGCAGGGGGAGGAGGGGGCGGGAGAGAGGAAACGCCCGCCCGAGGACAGGACGAGGCTGCGAGGCTGAGTTCTCAGTCTCCAGGTACCATGCACCGATTACATTACGTTAATGTAACATAATCTATTGTGTCGAACATAATTAGATTAAAACAACACTATTTCTCATACTAGCCACAAATAAGTAGCAAAGGGTTAATTTTTTTCTTTTTATTGACTTGAGAGAGCGAGAGAAACATCAACGTGAGAGAGAAAACCTGGAACCTGGGCATGTGCGTTGACCGGGAATTGAACCCGCAACCCCTGGGTTCCCGGGAATGATGCTCGAACCGCTGAGCCACGCCAGCCAGGGCAAAAAAGGGTTAATTATTTTATTATTTTTTAAATGTATCTTTATTGATTTCAGAGAGAGGAAGGGAGAGGGAGAGAGAGAAACATCAATGATGAGAGTCACTGATCCAGCCCGCAACCCGGGCATGTGCTCCGTCCGACAGGGAATTGAACCCGGATGGCCTGGATCCTAAGTCGACACTCAACCGCTGAGCCACGCCCGGCCGGGCCAGCATTAATTTAAAAACAATATCTTGCCCTGGCGGGTGTGGCTCAGTGGTTAGAGCGTCGGACCAAGAACCAAAGGGTCTTGGGTCCTATTCCCAGTCAGGGGCATGTGCCAGGGTTGCAGGTTTGCTCCCCGGCCCCCGTCGGGGTGCGTGTGGGGGTGGAGGGCAACCACCATATGTGTCTCTCTCAAGACACACCATTTCCCTCCCTCCCTCTCTCCCTCCCTGCTCTCTCCGAAAAGTGATGGAAAGAAGTATCTTCAAGTGAGGATTAAAAAAAAAAAATTAAACAACAACATCCTTTACAAGAACATTAAAAAAAGTACTTAATACCTAGGAATAATTCTAACGAAGGGTATACAAGACCTATGCGCAGAAAAACAACACACAGAGAAATTAAAGGCCTCCATAAGTAGGGGGTGGATCAGAAGATGTTAATTCTCTATTTTGATCTATAGATTCAATACAATCAAATTCTAGCTGAATTATTTTTCTGGAAATTGAAAAGGTGATTCTAAATTTTATTTTATTTTTCTATTATTATTATTTTTTAATCCTCACTCGAGGATATTTTTCCATTGCTTTTCAGAGAAAGTGGAAGGGGGAGGGGGGAGAGAGAGAGACACACAGACAGACAGACAGACAGACATCAATGTGAGAGAGACACATCGATGGGTTGCCTCCCGAACGCGCCCCAACCAGGGCCAGGGATTGAACCTGCAACAGAGGTACATGCCCTTGGCCACAAGTGAACCCAGGACCCTTCAGTCCGAGAGCCGATGTTCTAATCACTGAGCAAAACTCACTAGGGAGGTGATTCTAAATTTTAAATGGAAATACAAAGCGTCATAAATAGCCAAGACAATCTTGGAGGACTTGTACTGTCAGATACCTACACTTACAACCTACCTACCTACAATGAATAAGACAAACATACCACAGAAGCCGACAGGAAACCCCTAACCATACACATGGACGCTGTATTGAAAACAAAGGCCCCTCTGCCCTGCAGCAGGGAAAGGACAGTCTTTTCAACGAACAATACTCGTTTAACTATATGTCCACATAAAACAAACGAACAAAAATTGAACCTACCCATAACATACACAGAAGAACACTTCCAGGTAGACTGAAGATCAAAACGTAAAAGACTTGGACAGGTACATGCAAAAAAATGAAACCAGACCAGCTACTTACTCCATACACAGGAACAAACTCAAATGGATTAAAGACTTAAATGTTAGACTCGAAACCATAAAATCCTAGAAGAAAATATAGGTAGTAAAATCTCAGACATTTCTTGTGGCAATGTTTTTTCTGATACATCTCCTTGGGCAAGGGAAACAAAAGAAAATATAAACTAACGGGACTGCATCAAACAAAGTTTTTGCACAGCAAAGAAAACCATCAACAAATTGAAAAGACAACCCACTGAATGGGAGAACATATCGCCAATGATACATCTGATAAGGGGTTAATATCCAAAAAGAACTTATAAAAGTCAACAACAAAAAAAACCAAACAATTCAGTTAAAAAATGGGCAGAGGAGCTGAACAGACACTTCCCCAAAGAGGACACACAGATGCCAATGGACGTATGAAAAGACGCCCGATGTCACTGATCATCAGAGAGATGCAGACTGAAACCACAGTGAGAGACCACCTGACTCACACCTGTGGGTGTGAGGCTATCCTCCCGCCAACAAATCCATGAACAACAAGTGCTGGGAGGGTGTGGAGAAAGGGGACCCTCGTGCACAGCTGGTGGGATGCAGACCAGGGCAGCCTCTGTGGAAAGCAGCGTGGAGGCTCCTCAGAAACTCAAACATGGAGCTGCCTTATGACCCAGCGATCCCACTTCTGGGTATTTAGCCAAAGAAACCTAGCACACTATTTTGAAAGATACACGCACCCCTATGTTCACTGTAGCGTTGTTTACAACAGCCAAGATTTGGAAGCAGCCCAAGTGCCCATCAGCAGACGAGTGGATAAGAAGCAGTGGGGCATCTACCCCATGGAACACGACGCAGCTGTTAAAAGGATGAGACTCCTGCCCTTCGTGACAGCATGGAGGGACCCGGAGAGCACCATGCTGAGAGAGACAAGTGCCCTGTGATTTCACTCGTGTGGAATTTAATGAACTGAACTACCAATAAAATAGAGACAGACTCATAGATAGAGGGCAGGCTCACAGCTCAGGGTACGGGGTTGGGAGGAAGCAAAAAAAAAAAAAAAAAAAAAGAGAGAGAGAGAGGGAGAGAGCGCATGGACACGAACAACAGTATGGTGATTTCAGGGGTGGAGGGGGAAGAGGGGATAAATGGTGACAAAATAAAATAAATTTTATTTTTTTTTAAATATATATTTTTTTATTTCAGAGAGAGGAAAGGAGAGGGAGAGAGGGAGAGAGAAACATCAATGATGAGTCACTGATCTGCTGCAGCCCACAACACGAGCATGTGCCCTGACTGGGAATCGAACCCCGATCGCCTGGATCCTAGGTCGACGCTCAACCGCTGAGCCACGCCCGGCCGGGCAAAATAAAAAATTTTAATGTAAAAGGCAAAACACCACTATGATCACACAACAGAACATCTCCTTGACCTTAAGGAAGGCTGTAACAGAACTCGAAGAGCACTAACTTTAAAAGACAAGAACGAGAAATCAGACTACCTGAAAATTAAGTTTCTGGCCATCAAAGGTACCATTAAGAGTGAAAAAACAAGCCTTAACACGGGAAAGAGGACAGTCTGTGCCCCTCTCCACAATGCCGCGGGACACTGCGGCCTCACACTCCTGGGCGGGGAGGGTACTGCTAGCACCTGGTGGGTCAACGCCAGAGATGCTGCTGAATATCTTACAACACACAAGAAAACTCTCCACAAAGAAGAATTATCCAGCCTAAAATATCAATAGTGGCAGTTAGTGAACCTGACGCCGCAATGCAGCCCAAACTCACCTGAACTGACACGACCACTCTGGTCAACCATGTGGACCGTTTTCTAATGTCGGACACATGCATCTCCCTAATCCAGCAACTCCACTCTTAAGCATGTATCCAACAGGGATGCATACACAGTGCACCAAGTCATATAAAAGAGTGTTCCTTCGGTATTATCTGTAATGGCCAAAAACGGGAACAACCCAAACGCTCCTCCGTAGGAAATCACTCAGCAATGAGAAAGACAGGAACTACGGCTCCACACCAAGGGATGGGTCTCAAGGTGAATGAAAGCCAGACAGGAAAGAAACCACATCATGTAGTTTGTACACAAAATCCAAAAATGAGTAACAGCCATCTGTGGCTTTACAGTCCGAACAGTGGCCACGTGCTGGAGAAGCCAGGTGATCGGGAGGGTGCGAGGGAGCCTCAGGCAAGGCTGTGCTTGGCGAGTGCAGGGGTGGAGGGACACAAGTGGGCTTTGGAACCAACAGTCCATTTCTTGACCCAGAGAGAGGCGAGCTGGGCATGATCACCACGTGAAAGTCAGTGAGCAGACACATCTATACATACACACTTACTATCAATTTCAAAGTGAAATTAAGAAAACTTAGTGAGCCAGTACCTAAGATCTTCTGCCCAATTCCTTAGGGGGGAAAATGCCCGTTTGAGATTTGTGGAAAGAGAACATCCTGTCTGTGGAAAATAAAACACCTCTGAAGTACTGGCCGGCTGTCGCCCAGGGGAGTGGGTACCTGTCGCTTGATTGAGACCAGCTCCATGTCCAGCTGCCGCAGCACCGTGGTGGCCGCCGTGGCATTCGCAGAGACGGCCTCCACGTCTTCTTGGGAGAGGAACATTCCTTTGGGAGGTTTCCTTTTTGCTCTGTTTTTTGCTTGAGTACTATGCTTTTCTTTCTTGATCTGAGGAACTGTCTCAGCAGGGGGCACCTGCACAATATACACATTTTGATAAATGAGACATGAAAAAATTAAAATGCCAAATGAACAGTAACAGCATATTCCTTCACATGAGCCCAAATGATCTAAGGCAAAGACCAGCTGCATCATAACTACCACGTACCAATTCTAACAGGCAGCCAACAGACAAAAACATTGCTAAACACTTCGCAGGGGAGCGCAGCTCCTCCTGCACAGACGCCCTCACTCCATCGCCCGGAGCCTCTGAGCAAGCGCGCGCGGCTTCCTGGAGGAACACAGGAAGGAAAAGCCTGCACTCTCTGCTGAGTTGTTATATATGAGCAGGAGCTACTGTATTTTCACATCCCTAGCGATACAGATGGATGTATGAACACAGAAAGAAGATAGAAAAGATTCGGCACATGTATGAAGATCCACTTAAATTCTTTAAATCTTCATACAAGTTAAAAAATATATAAACTTCAATAGGAAACTATTACTTTTTTAAACACCTTTTTTAGGGAATGACACAGCTTTTAGGGCAACTGTGCCCTACAAACTTGCTTCAAAAAAATACATGCTGTCACTTTAAATGCATGACTGCTGATAATTTTTTAAAGTGCTTTCTCTGAATCCAAAACCTCCAGAAATGAGATGCAGGGAGCCTGGGCAGGGAAGGGATAAGGCCTTACTGCTGACCATTTATGAACAAGAGGTGTATGTGCTTGTTCACTGCTCATCCTGCTAAGCGGATCACATTCGCTGATGAAGCTGGACGCATCTTCACCCCGGGAAGGACTGAGCTGAAAGCCCATGAGTCCCGCGCGGTGCTCACAGCGACACAGGGTGGAGTCAGCGGCTGCTCAGGCAGGACCACCTAGGGCGGCGTGTCTGTTTTAATAACACTTTAGTATCTAAACAAACTACGACTTCACCATTTTTCTTTTTGAATCAGAAACTGAGCTATACAAATAAGAATTACAGAAATTAATATAAGATCAACCCTTTTCCCTTCCAATTAAAATGTCCCGCTGAAGAACCCAACGGGCAATGCAACAAAGCAAAGCTTCCTGGACAGTCCAAGCACAATCTGATTCCCGAACAACCCTAACGGAGCTAACCCTTGAGAAATGTTGTTATCTGGACTCGCATATAAATCCCTGGCAAAGTGCCAGGAGGAAAGGACTAGTTGTCCCACTTGGTGACACAACCACACCAAAGAAGCCTTAAAAACATATCAGGAACGCTTTGACTCAACATTCAACGCCTAGAAATGAATTATAATGGAAAAAATTAAGTGCACAAATATTTAGTTGTGAGATCAGCATTGTTTATAACAGCAAAAAGCAGGGGCAGAGACTGTAAGGCCCACTGAGGATTCCCTCAGTCAGTCGTGAAGTAGCTGCACGATGGGATGACACACAGCTGTGCGCACACACATCTGACATAAAAATATGTTCAAAGGAGAGTAAATCTGAAAGGTGATGGAATTTATACATATTAAAATCCCATTTATATTTTCTTAGGTAAATACTTACTCAGAATTAAGTATACATGCATACACTTTTTAAAAACATTTAAAAAAATTTATTTTAGAGAGAGTAGAGGGAGGGAGAGAGGGAGGGAGGAAGAGAGAAAAGCACAGGCTTGTCCCACGTGCTGACGCATCCCTGGTTGATTCTTGTATATGCCCTGACCAGGGACTGAACTTGCAACCTTGGCATTATCGGGATGACACTCTAACTGTGCTGCCTGGCCAGGGCCCATACACTTTTTACAGAGGAAAATGTTAATGGTGATTATGTGTGTAAATGGTTTCACTTTCTCCGTTATGGTTAGCTAGTCTATAAAAGCATGCGTTATTGATGTAAGTAAAATTTAGGTATGTCTAGACCTTTTTGTTTTTCCACACCTAAAATAGTTGCTCTCATACTTTAGAACCTTTTGAGACAGAAAACCCTTGAGATTTTGCTGAAACTATAGGCTCTGCCTTCAGAAAAACTCTTATGTGACCACAGATAAAAGTCATGCCCGCAGTGGGAGCCCACCCTCCAGCCTGACTGAGGAGCTGAGGGCCCGCCCTCCAGATGTCACGGCGGCTCCCCAGGCCTGCTGTGGGTAGTGCTGGACTGTGTGGTTTCCGACTTGAGCCATGGAGCCCTGGGCTTCCTCAGAGGGCCCTTGGGGGTCCTACACATGCTTTATTCAATTTTATGAATGGACAAAATACTGCAACCCCCATTTCAAAAGGCTAAGATCATCCCGACACCCCGTTTTCAGTGGACAGTTTACAAGAGTCATCCACAATTATAGGGTTTCATGAGCCCCCTGAACCTAGACACTAAAAACCTCTGGCATAACGACTTTCAAGACGTGAGCGACTGCAAGTTCACCATGCGTGAGGCTCGCCCTCGTATGACCTGGGCTGTCGTTTCTGAGTAACAGGATTTGCTCTGAGCCCGTCAGCGCTCTGCTGTTGCCTCCTGACCCGGTGTGTGCAGAGTCCTGGGCCCACAACAGCTTGGAAGGAGCCACAAGCCCACGAGGAGCCGCGTCCAGCCTGGGCCTCAGGGGCACCTCCTCCTGCAGCTGAGCCAGTCGCGCAGGGGAGCACGCACGAGGACTCGGCCCGGACAGACCACCGTGCGTCACCGCAATTTCTTCCTTTGAGACGCCCTTTACTCGTGTCTCTCGGCAAAGGCAATTCTAAGCTCTCCAGACCAAGTTACCAGTTTAAAACGTCCTCTCACGATGCCCTGTACAATGTGGCCCTTAATACATTCAGTAGAGTGAGCAAGAGGAGCGACGCTTTGCTCACGGACTCATCAAACTCAGGCGCCTGCAGGAAGTACCTCCTTCTTGCTGTCCTTGTTCTGATCCATCTCAAGGTCGATGGGGTTACTTCCGTTCGCCTCTTCCAGTTCATCCTCACTGGAAGACAGGAAAACGTTACTGAGAGGTTACTTTGTATTGACTTAATTAATATACAAACAGAAGCAATAAACTGATTTAATGACAGATTTAACATAAAATTAGTATGTTTTCAGACTGCTGAGATAAAAACAATTTTACAATTCAAATAAAAAACCAATTTCATAGTTCTTTTAGTCTAAATGATTAAAATAAACTATTAAAATGGGTTTCTAACTCCCAAACCAGGCCTAGAACCCTGTTGCTTTATATACGTCAAGTGTTTTCCCTTAACTCTCAACTAAAAATATGTAATTTAAGACATTTACTTTATCTCCCCATAATTATCTAGTGGAGAACTGGGATGTGATCATGAGACATAACTGAGAAATTGTTCAAGACTAAAGCCCCACTGCGCCTGGAGCAAATCCACCGATGAGTGAAAACAGTCTCAAGCCCCACCTGCCTGCTCACGACCACCCAAGTCTGAGCTCGGGGAGGCTTTTTGGTGGCCGTGACAACTGGTATTTTAAATTAAGTTCATCCCAAAAAGGACACTCAATTGCTGTGGTGTTTCAAATGCTTTTGCTTATATCCTTCCACATAGTATTTCTTATTAAAAAAAGGACCAGAGCCAGCTGGTGGGGCTCAGTGGTCGAGTGTCAATCCATGAACCAGGAGGTCACAGTTCGGTTCCCGGTCAGGGCACATGCCTGGGTTTCAGGCTCGATCCCCAGTGGGGGGTGTGCAGGAGGCAGCCGATCAATGACTCTCTCATCACTGATGTTTTTTTCTCTCTCTCTCTCCCTCTCTCTGAAATCAATAAAAAAATTAAATTAAACTTTAAAAAGAACAAGAGCTCTGTGGTAGGTGGGAGCTTCACTAAACAATTAGAAAACAAGCCCTGGCTGGCCCACCGCTGAAACCAGCTCATCGGCGATGGCTACAGAGCGCTCAGGTTTCGAATGTCCACATCCTGCTTGGTTTCAGGAATCCATCCCAGCTGACTACACCGTGCGCTCCCCACCCTCCAAGGCCCAAGGTGGTGTAAGTTCTGGCTTAAGAAAGAGTGTCCAAGAAAATAGTCTGGGTTGAGGGACTTTTGTCCCAGTCGCTGACATTACTATCACAGGCAGGTCCCATCACAACGACAAGCCGCGGGTGCTCCCGCCACAGCAGGTCTCCTCCTCCGTCTGCACCCTGAGAGCGAAGGTGCACACGGGAGGTGGGAGCAAGAGACCACCCGGGATGTCATTCATGCTCAGCACAAGTTCCAATCTATGTTTGTATTTAATTCTGATCTTAGCTGAGTAGGCTGCATCTGTTTGCAGTAATAAATTTAATTTATACACAGTAAACAAGACCTGAGATATAATGGAAATAAAAATTTTAACCAAAAGCTGCTACAACACTAAAAACATTCAGTAAGTGGGTTTGCCACATTTCTTTGGTTATTAAGAGTGCTGATTCATAAACAGACCCACTGGTATGTACGCTGAAGACCAAAAACATGCATATGTCTCAGGTCAAAAACCTTATAGACTTAGAGCTGGAAAGGGCTCTGGAGACGTTCTCAGCATCACTCTCATTTTACACTTGGGCCAAGAGGGCTAGGCTCTCCAAAAGTGATGCCTGACTTTCAGTTTGTTCCCACAGGTTAGTCTCTTTAATTTGAAATCATCTCTTCTGAGATGGGGCCAAATAATTATAAATTTACAAAAATAATATATTACACAAAATATATAAAATATAATTTTAAAAAGCTACCTACAGCCCTGGCTGGTGTGGCTCAGCGCTTGGAGTGCTGGCCTGCACACCAAAGGGTCTCGGGTTCAATCTCAGACCGTCTGGGAGCATGCGGGAGGCAATCAATCGGTCTGTCTCTTTCACACTGATGTTTCTCTCTCTCTCTTTCTCCCCCTCCTCCCTCCCTCTCTTTCTAAAAAAATTGGAAAAAAATATCTTCAGGTGAGGATTGACCCAAAAAAAAAAGTCACCTACATTATCACCAACCTAATACAAAAACCGTTATGCTGTGTACTGGCCTCTGGACTTTAAGCATCTTCGTTTTGGAACTGAGGAAAGGGGTTCGGGAAGGAGTGTCTGAACTGAAACCGGCCTGTGAGTGGGAGCAGAGCCTCCCCAGCAGAGCCTGGTGCCGCTTCTGCGTGTGCACACGGCCACTCCCACCGCGCTGCGCCGCACAGAGGCTGAGGAAGTGATGACTAAGGTGTCCTTCCAGTAAGCTGGCTGTGAGACCAGCATTTACCAAGAAGCCGTGCAGTGTTTCCCACTCACTCGCATATACAAATCAGACAGTCGAGGAGGGAGGAAGGAACCTGAACTGCCCTGGCCTCTTCAACGCACCCAACACGAACCCATCACGTGAATCTGCACAGCACACCACACACATCTCAACCCAGGAAACAACAGATCCTGTCACTAAAAGAAGACACACTCGCCCAGGCTGGGCCGCTCAGCTGGGTGGAGCGTCGCCCCCATACGCCAAGGTTTCGAGTTCGATCCCCGGCAGGGCACATACAAGAGTCAACCAGTGGCACATCAGTACGCGGGACGAGCCAGTGTTTCATCCCTCGCTCTTTAAAATCAATTTTTAAAACAAGATGCCCTCACGGGCATGAAAGAATATGCAGGAAAGTCTACTCGTTCACATGACACTTCCTGGCAGCAGGGAGAGCGGTGGGGAGAAGCCTGCAGGAGGAAATGCTGCCGCGAGGCACAGCCACCAGCAGGGAGCGGAGCGCATCTGAGTCTGGTTCGGACAGGTAGGCACTGGGCCCCTGCAGTCACTATCTGTCCTCGGCGGGCCCACCAGCTCCCAGGGGTCTAGTGGCCTGCGGCCCCGCGGTGAGCAGCACCCCCGGCGCACTGACCTCTCCTCCCGCTCGCGCTTCTGCTTGCGAGCGTGACGGTCCATCACGCTGGTCTTGGTCCTTGTCTTCTTCCAGGAGTAGTAAAACTTCACCAGGCTTGCTATAGATTTATCAGGAAGCTACGTACAAAGAATGAGTCAATTCAGATTCAGACTAACCTTCCAGGGTCCAACGCGCTCAGATACACTTAGTTAGGATCACACTCGCGCAGTCGGGTGTCGAAGCCACGGCCCTTCTTCAGTAAGGAAATAAATTCATGAAAGGACTCTCCTCGGTGCATTTTCAAATTACTAAGTGTGACTGGAAGTGAAACTCAGCCCATGAAAGACTGTAAAGTCAGTTTAAGATGAATCAGGGTTTTCACACACCTAAAGTTTCTAACATATTCTATCATAACTTTTGGGTTACTTAAAAATAGTTCATTTTAGAACGAATGTAACTCGGTAAGATTTTGTGGCAGAACCCACCAAGCAGCATTCTCCATTGCGAGAAATGAGCAAACCTTTCCCAGGTGGACAGGGCCCATGATGCTCCACCTCATCAATAACCATTGAGAGCCTTTGCCAATAACCTTCTGGGGAATTGAAACAAGACAGACTGAGGGTGGGTGGGGGGCGTCACAGCCATCGAGCTGGGCGGTGCCAGGAAATGCTTCCCTGCTGTCATCTGCAGCCTCTCGTTCCCCTAGCAGCAAGCAGTGGGCTGCTTTTCCTAAAGGGAGCTCTATTGAAAATGAGACACTCATGCCTGCAGGCGACAGTCCTATCCCTCAGGTATGCTGCAGAGGAAAGAGGCT